CTCACCCAAGGAACGCCCCATCCCCATCCCACCCTGGCTCGGGTGCAGGGGAGCGGGCATCGCCCCGAAGCCCCCATGGACAGCGGGGGACACCCCGGTTCGTGCATGCCCCTGGCTCGAACAGTGAGGCCCTGTCCCACTGCCTGTGGGCATCCCCAAGCCCCAAAGAACTAGACCCTAGGAAAACCAGCAGCCCCAGTGCTGGGCTCAGGCTGGGCAGGCTGGAGGCTCCCAGTTCCAGCTGCCTTCACCCCATCTGTGAAATTCCCACCGTGGGGCATTTTGGAGCATCCCGGGGCAGGGAGGGTGAGGGAAGGCAGCTGCAGCGAACACCCTTCAGACCACTTGGCTGGTGGATGCTTCACCACTAGTCGGGTACAGGATGAGGCCAGCACCCCTTGGTGTCCCTGCAGCAGCTAAAAGCCCACTAGGGCGCTCCTGCACTCGAGAGACCTTAGCAAGGAGCCACCCCATCCTACCCCCTGCTTCACACAGGGAAAAGGGTGCCGGGATAATAGGATGGGGTGACTGGTGCTGCAGGGGACCAGCACAGAGGACACTGCACCCCATAAGGGCAAGCGGCCCATCCTGTACATGAGGGGACACGCAGCAGCTCTGCGCCGCTCCCAGCACATGCCGGTGCCCCAGGGCTCAGCACACAGGCCCCCGACACCGGCTGACAGCCCCTAATGCATTTTTGATTTCCCAAATATGTGGCCTTCTGATCTTGGTAAGACGGATAAAGAGACTTTAATCAGCTGCTAGGAGGAATTATGGATGGCTAATTGTGCCTGCCACCTCCGTTACATCTCTGCCGCCTATGGGGCTTAGAACCATTTAGAAGGGCCCTTCCAGGCTTTCATTAGCTGCACACCAAAGGCTTCAGAAATAATTGGCCTCTATGATTTAGAAATTGGCCACTGGGCTGTAAAATACCAGCCACTGGGAAAGGGTCTTAATTCGGACTGGCACTTTGATACAGCTTGACTCTGGTTTCAAGGCTGCGATGAGGCTGTAATCTCTCATTAGCGCTGTGATGAGGAGCGAGCCTCCTCATTAGTACCGACTGGAGTGCCAAAGCTTTCCAGGCCCCCTCTGACAGGAAGGCCCCAAATGAGAGGGGGACAAGCCCACCTCCCAGGCCAGCACAGCAGCCCCCGGCAGTTTCTCTGCTCAGAGGCTCTGGGCTCCCTTTCTCAGATTTCCCCCCCCCCCGACATTCTCTCCTGCCCTTCCCAAGGCCCACCACCACCATCCATGATCCTAAACCCTGAACAGGGTGGGTGCAGTCAGACCGACCAGTGGGGCGGGCTGTCCCTGGCACCTTCTCCCTCTCCAGTCATGCCCAGGGCTGCGTGGGAGGCAGTGAGCTGCCGAAGAACTCACCCAGGACTGTTCATCAGTACAGACCACTTCCCTGCTCCTCCTGGGAAAACGTACTTTATTTGGAATGGGGATTAAAGCAGCTGACAGGGAAAACCTTGCAGCTGTGCTGCAAGGGAAGCTATTTCAATGACAGCAACGTTAACCAACACCACATGGTCAGGGGCAACTTGTGCCTACATCCTTATCTAAGCCCGTTACAAGTCACAGGCCTTCAAGCAGGACAAACCAAAGGAGACAGGGTTTTTGGCTCTGCGACACATCACATTATGCTGTTAGGTGGCATCCACATGACAGTGTCTTAGCTCATCACCGAGCTGGCCTTTGGGAGCATTCTCCTCATTAGCTGTTTCTGCAGTTTTGAAGGTGTCCAAAACTCTGCGCTCACTCAGGGCAAACACCATTGTACAACCGCCCAGTTACTGCGCCAAAGGAAAGTCTGCAGCTTGGGATGCTGCTGTTGAGGACAAAGATAGGGGGGAAGAGGGGAGGCATGAAAATTTTCCCTACTCAACAACTTGCTCTCTATGACTCGCAGTGGAAAGAAAAGCCGTCTAGCATGCTGTCTTATCTTCATATAGATAACACATTTATTGAAAATCTGCTTCACCAACAACGGTGAAATCATGACCAAAAATTACAAAACATCATGGCAGTTGGCTTTATAAAAATAAACTGCAGGGGTATGTCTCACCAATTTGTACTGGTCTCTCTCACCCTCTCTCTCCTTTAACGGTGTAGGTTATACTCTTCAGCCTAATACCATTCTAGAAAATTGCATTCTGTCCAAAAAAATGCACTTGTTTTTCCTTAGTAGAGGCCTTTAAAGTGACTTTTCCCCCCCCGCCCTCCCCAACAATAAATATAGAAAATAGCCTCTAAACAAATAAATTTTAGTTTGGTCAGCTTAAAAAAAAAAAGGTCCATTTTCCCCCTCTTGGGATACATAGTGATTAAGCAGCCATTTGAACAGTATTCAAGTCTTTGGTGGCTTCGGCTGCTTAAAGCTGCAGTTTTACGTACAGGTGATCAACTGAGGTCCTTTTTTTTTTTTATCTCCAGAAACCAAAGACTATGAGATGATGTCAGGTGCGAACTACTAGTACGATCAGTGCTGCATTCGCTGCACCTTCACTGGGAGTGATCGATCGCCCAGGGAAGTGACCGGTAAAAGGAGGTCATCTTTGGCAAGCGAAAGCTTTCACACAGAAGGCGTCTTTGGTGGATGAATCTGTTGCATAAGCTGCGGTCGTTTCACTCGTGGTTTCCGTCTCTTTGGCCTGCTCTTCGCTTTGTTGATCTGCACCACAAAGAACGCCAGAACCACCATGGCACCAAGAAAAGCAAAGACCGGAATAGTCTGCCCTACGTCCTGGTTGTACCGGCCCGGCATTATACCTAGAAAGGCAAAGGGGTTTGGAGTGACTAGTGACCACATGACCTACGATGTCTTTGCAGTGTTAACGCTATCTACAAAAACAATCTAACAGTAACTCTTCTTCAAAGACAAAGCAGGTATTAATCAGATTACATTTGAGACAGGAAGATTAACAACCACAGACTGATTAGCAAAAATTTTAAGACAGGATGCTAATGTTACAGAAAAGCACCAGCATTTCCACCTTGACTTATTTGGGCACACGAAAGCATAACCCAGATTTGCCCTGCAACAACAGTCTTCTGTTCTGCATTAGAACAGAGATGCAAATGCTTGACTGTAATTTTACCACTAAGTAATTTCTATAAACCACACCAAATCCTGACGCCATGAGGAAAGTGATTTTGTGCTTGCTCTGGAGACTCTGCAAGCATATGGTGAGGCAGAGCTATAGAACAAATCCTTTGTTTTTACAGGCATCTTTTGGTCTAGCAGCTCAGACTGGGAAAAGAGCACACATGAGGCTTTCAAACTACCTCCAGCTGGGCCTGCAGTGCCAAGCTTGTACAGGAGAGCAGCCCACCATTAGACTGAAAGCTGTTTCAAGTGCTCTACATCGTTTGTTGGTGTAACGCCTTGCCCAAGGCACCATTCAGACAAACTCTTCTGGACTGCGGTTTGTGCAGTCAGGCAAGGAATTTTAATTAGCAGGAGGTATCTAGCCACAGCTCCCAAAGACAGGGACTGCTGCTAACACATGTTGGTCTGAACAGCACCAAAACAAACCTCAACTACCCAAAAAGTACCCATCGACACCCTCCTCCCAGTATGTCATGCATGCATTCTTCTAAATAAACCATTCACACGCAAAAACATTTCTTGTGGTCTTCATCAGTCAGCCTTACTATTATTTGCATGTTTTTCACAACTGAAAATAAACACCTGGCGTCTCTTCTGGCTGCACTTTGTTTGGGTTTCTTTTCAAAGCTTATACAAAAAGCAAAGTAAAACACCAACTTTCAAACTTTTCAGTATTTACCTCCAGGAATGTCCCATGCTCCACTTTCTCCAGGGGACAACGGTCTCACTTGGGGTCGGTTCTGTCGAAAACTGGGCAGAGCCACTTTATCAAGGTCAATTGACAGTAACTTCTGATGTTTCCAAAGGTTGCTAGAAGAAATGTAAAGACAGAGGTGTCCACTTCAGTAATGCAAGGAATTTTGTAGAAACATGTAGAGAAAGTGACAGTTGGAACCTGCAAGTAACTCACTAGTTTGGACTCAAATGATAATCCAACCCATTCTTTAGGTTCTGCAGTTTGCAGGCCGCAAAAGTTAAATTCAGACAGCACAGAGAAACACTTAGATTGGCAACTATTTACTGACAACTCTCTTGCACAGACTACTAAAAGTAAACATTACTAGCACAGCAGACAAGTATAGCCTATGTGCTGATGCATTTTCCTTCGAGTGACTGACAGATGATACAACAGAAGGCAGAGTTAGGCGAGCTGTCCAAGCAGCTGCTTCAGAAAACTATTTCAAAGGCATGCAGTGATGAAGGATTTAAGCAAGACCATTCACTCTAAGTTGGGATCATTCAATCACAACCGTGAATTGACTTCTGAAGTTACTTCTAAAATCTCCCAGTTTCACAGTGTAACTATAAGGCGAGTCAGAATTATTCACTGAAGAGGCATTAACCATTATTTCCTCTTTGCAATCTGGTATTTCTCTAGGAAAGGCATTCCAGCTGTCCCTTTCAAAAACAGATGGAACAAGTAATTTTTCAGCTGAACTCAAAAGCAAGACTTCTTGTATAAGACAGACATATACTAACCTGGGGGCAGTCTCATTCAAAGGCTGTGGTTTGGCCCAGGACAGGTGAGGACAAGCAGGAAGGGACCGGGGTTTAGGGTCTCCCAGGTGAGCCTCGAGCACCTTTGAATATCTATGCAAATGGTTACCTGCAACTCACAGCAGAGACAGACCGGGTTACCAAAAGATTGGTCTTTTGGTCAGGCTAGGATAAGAGTTACTCACATTGGCCTCTGACTAAAGAGGGCTGCTGTAAAACAAGGAGCTCTTTACAGTAATGACAACTCGTAGCCAAATCTCAGTTAGAAATACCCAAAGGGGACCTTACAATACAGCAAGACCGCACACCTACAATGGTAGGTAATCCAAGTTTTGCCGGCAGGACGCGAGACAAGGCTGACTGCTTTATACACACGCCGTAGCTAGTAACTACGATGCTCCCTAGCAGAACTGAAAATTCCTACCCTACAAACAGAACATTTTCTTCAGTTGAATCACAACTATATCACGACACATCCCTACAGTAAGTGCTTTCTTCCAGTAAAAAACCAGAATATTTTAGAGCTCACAGCAAACTAACCGAACCGGCATGTAACTCAAGGGGTCTGCCTGAGTCTTCCTAAATTCCACTCTGACTCTCCCTCAATTGCGGGCTCTGCTTGGTAATTAAGGCTCTCACCTTCCATCCGCTCCGGGAGAGAGTAGCCTACTCCTGACGGTGGTCGCTGCCTGTTTTCGGAATGGCTGAGGCTTGGCGGCGTCACCCCGTAAGAAGTGTACTGCAGGAGGGAATCCAGGAGCCAAAAGCAATCTGCAGATTTCACAGCACCAAGCCCCAAAACAAGTTATGCATTATGCCACATTTAAAATGCCTTATCTTTCTGTTAAAAAGGCCAGAACAACATTTACAAGTACAATCAGTTTTTCTGGTTCTTGTTTTTTTCCTTCTGAAGTTCTAGGCCAAATTTCAGAAAGGTGCAACTTTAAACACATGCCCCACATCCCCCCTCCAATACACAAATACAAAAATAATCCATTCGTTCTTAAAAAAAAATCTTCTCTTGTGTACCAAATCAGGGTCTTCTGGGGAGAAAGACACAAAACAACAGGTCTCAAACAAGGTATTTCCAGGTTGTGCAAGGCCATTCAAGTCCCTGCAAAATTACGAGTTTTTTCAGCGTGGAAACATAGGAAGCTCAGAGCTTCTGATACCATTTTTAAGAGGGAAACAGAGAACTATTTTTTTAAAAGCTCAAAATAAATACCTGACAAAGAAAAGTAAGAACAAGGTAGTGTTTTCAGTGGAAAGTTATGACTCATTTGCTTTTCCAAGCTTAAAAAAATAAACAAATGAAGGGTGAAAGGTTCTGGCTACATCCCAGCTAAAGCAAAAGCAGTACCTACAGCAGCTGTGATACAGACCAGGCTGGGAATCAATGCCACAATATACTTGATCGTGGTTTTCCTTTGCACTGCAACAGCACACGAACCCTCGTTTTCATTCTCTCCTGAATTAGACTACTGTAATCCAGAGCTGCCCCTAACAAACAAGTAGTCCAGCTAGCTAACATCACAATTCTCTAAAACATCCATTTGCAGTAGGACAATGCCTTATCAGCTACTCGCACCACACAGCAACCTGTTTTTCTCAGAACTTCTCCCCCCAGGAATAGTTGGCTGGGAATGGGAATTAATCTTCATAATCCTGGTGTCCCTTAAACCCTCACCTTTGATTTTTAAAGAGGTCAATCAGATTTTAAGGATTTATATTCACAAATGTTAGGAATTTACCTCAGTTAAAGCCACCAATGTCTCTGCAGGAGACCTAGCTCCTAGTTCACAATTTATAAGCTAATTTTAAAGGATTTCTTTAGAGCTTTCCACCTTTTCTTGCTTCACAGGTCACGCTGAATTTAACAGCATTAGGGAGGTCACAAAGCGTCGTTTTCTGTTGTTTAATCTAAAGCTACGTATCTTCTCTTATGCTACATGCTTTCAATAATTCACAAGGCAGAGAAAACAGCTCCTCTACAGTCACAGAAACTGCACATACCCACAACTCACGCAATTGCTACCTAGAGTTAAAACAAACGCTTTAAAAACCCCAACAGAAAGTCTTACTTTCTGGTGTATTTACACCAGCTGGTTTGCGTCAAAGTAGAATAACCTGAAAACAGTAATGCACAACTGAGAAGTTGAATATTCCCATAAATCCTCCCTGCAAATATTGCAAAGGGAACAAGGCACAATGATGAGCAAACTCAAAAGATAAAATCCACTGTACTACAAAAACATTCTGAAAACGCAGCTGGGTAAAAAGTGAAGGCCTCTCCTAATTGCCTCTTCACAACTCGAAACCAAGCATGTGTAACTGTTAGTGCTTTCTGGAAACAAAAACACACCAAAGAAACAAAAAAACCCCAATAACCAACCAACACCCATCCCTGCAAAAACCCACCCCAAAACCAGCCCCCAAAGCTTGTGGAACAGAAAAATAGGCAAGAGGCCTATGGGGGTGGGGTGGTGGTGGTGGAAATGCTCCCATCTATCACAGGGCTATTTAACATGGGCTGCTTTTTTGTTGTAACTGCACCTGAGAGCATTTTCAGTAGAGCTCTGCAGAACTGAGATTAATGCCCAGTTAGGAATATTTAGAGAGTTCCCTAGAAACAGCTACTTCTGATGGGAGCTGTAAAAACCCCATAGGACAGTTGTCAGCTCAAGATAGAAACCTCTTCTGAATGTAAAAGCTTACACACCTTTCTGTCGATGGCTGTCATCCAAGCAATTAGAGTCACCGTACAAAACAATTCTGCCACCACCTTCGGAAGGAACTTGGTAAAGTCCCAAAATAGGGACATTTTCAATTACAGCAGTCTCCTGCTTTAAAACTTCAAGACCTAAAGCAAAGCACAAATAAATTTCATAGCTTGCAACATCAATTTACCTTTAAGTCAACCCAACCTACATTGCAAACCGGCAAATGCAGCTATGCCACTCTTCACCACCATGATGTTA